TTAGGGGTGACAGGGTTTAGGGGTGCAGGGAATCAGGTCCAAGGACTTTCTCTTCCGAGCGAGCCCGTGTCAAGCTTGCACGGCCGAACAGCGGGGGCTTAGGGTTTAGGGCAAAGGATTTAGGGTTCAGAGTTCAGGGTTCAGGGTTTAGGGTTTGGGGTTTAGGGTTTAGGGTTTGGGTTTAAGGGCTAGGGTTTGGGGTTTCGGGTTTAGGTGCTTAGGGTTTAGGGGCTGAGGGTTTAGGAGTTTAGGAGTTTGCGGGTTGAGGGCGCAGACGCTTGCGCCACATCCTCGGCCAGCACGGCGCGAACAGACATCGCGCTCATAACAGGCATAACATAAATTCGCCAGCATGCTGTCAAAGCGGAGCATACGGACTCGTACACCCTAAGCCCTAAACCCTAAACCCTCAACCCTAAACCCTCATCCCAAAAACCTCAACCACACAAGCCCAGAACTCTCTGCTTGTTACCAAGCGGCTCTTGGTAGGAAGCTGGGGCTCAGGGTTTTGGGGGCTTGGTGTGCAGGGTTCTGTTTGGAGGGTTTAGGGTTTAGGGTTTAGGGTTTAGGGTTTAGGGTTTAGGGTTTAGGGTTTGGGGTTTAAGGTTTAGGGTTTAGGGTTTAGGGCTTAGGGTTTAGGGTTTAGGGTTTAGGGTTTGTGGTTTGGGGCTTGGGGTTTGGGGTTTAGGGGGGCTTCGGCCATAGGGTTGGACCCCTTGGGAAGTATCCGGTTCCAAATTCTGATTGCAAGCCTAAGCTGCGCTTAACCCTTAAAACCTTAAAACCCTAAAACCCTAAACCCCGAAACCCCTAAACCCCCTAAACCCTGAACCCTAAACCCTAAACCCTAAACCCTAAACCCTAAACCCTTCAAACCCTAGCTGTCGTGGGCGACTGGCCGCCCAAAAGACAGCATGAAGGCGGAGGCAGCTTGCCTCTTCTGTACAGGGCTGGCGCAATGGCATGGGTTTGAGGGCTTAGGCTTCTTCAGGGTTTATAAACCCTAAACCCTAAACCTTAAACCCTACACAGCTAAAGCAACCGCCCAAATACCCATTACAACAAGCCCTTAAGACCTCTTAGGGTCTAGGTCTCGGGGCTGAAGGGTCTCGGGCTGAGGGTTTGCAGGCTCAGGGTTTAGGGTTCATAGGGTTTCATGGCCTGCGGGCGGGGGGGGGGGGTGGGGGTTGGAGGTCTTTCGGCTGCAAGGGTTTCGGGTTCAGGGTTTAGGGTTTCGGGCTCATATTGGCAGTTGATCAACACCCTAAACCCTAAACCCTACACCCTAAACCCTACACCCTAAATTTCCCTTATAAGCCCGAAAAATGCCCTAGTCATTTCCCAAGAAAGGAAGGACCTTTAAATCAACCCCATACTGGGGGGTTTCGGGTTTAGTGTTTAGGGCTTGGGGTTCAGGGCTTAGGGTTTAGGATTTAAATTTAGGGTTTGGAGTTTAGGGTTTAGGGGTTGTGCTTGGGGTGAGTAGGACGCAAGGGTTTGAATCTGGGGTTGGCTCAAAGCACCTGCCGTTGCGTTAGGTGCTGATTTCGGAACAGCCGCTGAGCTGTTTCTGGCCCCGAAATTGCGACACCTTCACGTTCCTCGGGCTGGCAGCAAGAGGGGACACATCGAAACATCTTAGACCCTAGACACCGGAGGCCGCAAACCCCGACCTGATACCCTTCGGCCTGAAGGTTAACGGCTTTAGAGGTCTTCTGGGGGGGGGTGCGCCTGAAGACCTTGGGCTTAGGGTTTATGGGGTTTAGGGCCCACGGCTTTAGGGTTTGAGGGCTTTGAGGGTTTGGAGTTTTGGGGGGGGGGGGGGGTTAGGGGTTGAGGGGGTTAAGGCTTCGGAGTTGCGGTTTCAGGATTGCAGTTTTAGCGTTTAGGGTTTGGGGGGTTTGGGCTTAAGGTTCGGAGGTTGGGCGCGGGGTGTTGTTTGGGGCTGTTCGGTCTCGGGGTATAGGGCCCTAAACCCTGGACCCTAAACCCTAAACCTAAACCCTAAACCCCTAAACCCTAAACCCTAAACCCCTAAACCGTAGTTTAGGGAAGTGGTGCAGCCAAGGGTCTTCGCGAGTATGTAGCTGTGGCAGAGGACCTTGGGGCCGTAGTCGTGCGCCATTTGGGCCCACCTCAACATCGGTTCTGGGATCCGAGACTCAAACGACCTCTAAGGTTGGTTTAAGGGTTTAGGGCGGAAACCCCAAACCCTAAACCCTAAACCTAACACCCTAAACCCTAAACCCTAAACCCCCAATACCTAGGATCCACTGGAGCTTCTGATGCTCAGGGGGGCGGAGGGGTCAGGGTTTAAGTTGATCGGGCTTGCCGGGGGTCGAGTTTACTTTACAGGGTACTGCAAATAGCCAGAAGGTGGCCTTAAGTTCGAGAACTTACGAGAAGAATGTCTCATAGAATCATAGAATGTGAGGAGGGTTCGGATTTAGAGCGCAGTACAGTAATGTGGGGGCACCTGGGGCATTGGGGTTGTGGTGTTACTACTACCCCCAACCTTGCGCGTGCGGTTTATCCCCAACCCTAAACCCTACACCCTACACCCTAAACCCTAAACCCTACACTCTAAGCCCTAAACCCTAAACCCGATTTAGGGCTCAGGCTTGGGGGTTGCGGGCTTGGGTTTTCGGGCTTGGCAAGCCGAAGGCCCTCACATCCTGAATCCCCGAAGGCCCGAAGACTCCTCATCTGTCCCTCAAAACGCCGAAGCCCTCAAAGAAGCCAAACCCAAAGCCCCCTCAACCCTAAACCCTAAACCCTAAACCCTAAACCCTAAACCCTAAACCCTAAACCTCTGATAACCTGTCAAGCTGAGATGCAGTGTCCAGGGCATCTGGAGGCCACCTCGGCAGTGGCGGACTTCGGGGGAGAGGAGGGCCGGTAGGGTTTAGGGTTTAGGGTTTAGGGTTTAGGGTTTAGGGTTTAGGGTTTAGGGTTTAGGGTTTAGGGTTTAGGGTTTAGGGTTGGTTTAGGGTTTAGGGTTTGGGGTTTAGGGTTTAGGGTTTAGGGTTTAGGGTTTAGGGTGTAGGGTGTAGGGTGTAGGGTTTAGGGTTTAGGGTTTAGGGTTTAGGGTTTAGGGTTTAGGGTTTAGGGTTTAGGGTTTAGGGTTTAGTTTCACAGCAAACTCCAAAAAGTTGGAACATGGTTTAAGGATGATTAGTGCTGGGATGCTCCTTTAGCAAAGAAAATGGGGTATGGAACCTCTTGAAGTTTGAGGGGTTTAGGGTTTAGGGTTTAGGGTTTAGGGTTTAGGGTTTAGGGTTTAGGGTTTAGGGTTTAGGGTTTAGGGTTTAGGGTTTAGGGTTTAGGGTTTAGGGTTCAGGACCTAGACTTCAAAGGCGGCTGAGGGTGCAGCTCGTGGTGCAACTGGACAAGGGGCTTTGAAGGTTTAACCCTAAAACCCTAAACCCTAAACCCTAAACCCTAAACCCTAAACCCTAAAACTCCTGTACCCCAAACCCTAAACCCTAAACCCTAAACCTGATCCCTAAACCCTAAACCCTAGAACCCCTGTACCCTAAACCCCGAATTCCGAGGTCGAGGGACCTGGCCCGTCGCTCACCCAGACTTTCCTGCGCTTCCACGGTCCCTTTTCGACCAGCTCCTCCGAAACTTCAGGTTGAGGGCTTACCTTCGGGTTTGGGGCGTTTAGGGTTTAGGGTTTCGGGTTCAGGGTTGAGGGTTTAGGGTTTCGGGTTTAGGGCGTTTAGGGTTTAGAGTTTGCGGTTTGGGGAGGGGGGGGGGGTAAGTCGTTAAGGGTTTGGGTTATCTGGGTTCATTGAGGCTTCTATAGAGCAGTAAACCCTAAACCCTAAACCATTAATATAACCGGCGCCAGATAAGGGCCATGGCCCGGGCAGCTTCTCCAAACCAGCTCCCAGAAGCCCGAACTCCCGGGACCCTGGAGCCTCCTCCCCGCTCTGCAAACCCCCTAAATTCTGAAACCCTTCTGGGGTTTAGGGTTTAGGGTTTAGGGGTTTAGGGGTTTAGGGGTTTAGGGGTTTAGGGGTTTAGGGGTTTAGGGGTTTAGGGGTTTCGGGGTTTAGGGGTTTTAGGGTGTTTAGGAGGTTTAGGGGGTTTAGGGGGTTAGGGGTTTAGGGGTTTAGGGGTTTAGGGGTTTAGGGGTTTAGGGGTTTAGGGGTTTAGGGTTTTAGGGGTTTAGGGGTTTAGGGGTTTAGGGGTTTAGGGGTTTAGGGGTTCTTTTTAAGGGGTTCGGGGATTTAGCTCTAAACCCTGAACCACGGGACCGCTGAAGAAAAAAAGAAAACATCCTAAGCATGAGCGTGACCTGAAAAGCCTCTGGCCTCCGGCCCCCCACGCTTCCCCCCACTCCCCCCTCGCCCCCACAAAAGAACCAAGTCAACTAAATTTTTAGGAATCTTGGATTTACGATGTAGTCACGTGTGCTTTACATATGTACAACTTTTATCACCATCCCTATATATTTGTATATCTATATCTATATCTATATCTATATCTATATATAGATATATGTATATATAGACATCTATATATATATAGATATATAGATATATAGATATATAGATATATAGATATATAGATATATAGATATATAGATATATAGATATATAGATATATAGATATATAGATATATAGATATATAGATATATAGATCTATATATATATATATATGACGGTTGTTCGAAATTGCTTCACGGCAAAACGACCATTCTTCGCGAAAAGCTATTTGTCTTTCGCGGGCCCATCGCGGACTTTCACGGAGGCAATTTTACACCCGTCTTAGTTACAGTACAAACAGTACTAACACAAAACTTCGTGAAAGCGTGATTTGTCTTTCGCGGGCCCATCGCGGACTTTCGCGGACCCTCATTTCCATTATCTGATGGTCGCCCCAGTATAGCTCGAAGCCAAGGGGGGTTTTGAACAACCCTCATATGTGTGCACAGCTATTGTTTTATGTCTATTAGGTATATGTACACAAACCATGAGCCCCCGCCCTTTCATGGGTCCTCCACGCGGGCCACGTAACAGCGAAGGGAGAGGCGGGAATTCCTCGATTCTTTAGGGTTTAGGGTTTAGGGTTTAGGGTTTAGGGTTTAGGGTTTAGGGTTTAGGGTTTAGGGTGTCGGGTTTGCTGTAATGTGGCCCAGATGCTGTGAAGGTTAGGGTGCCGAAGAGGCTCGAAAGCTTTGTCGGGTGCGCAGAGCAGCTCTGGCCAGATTGTCGAGGGCAAGAAACCCCCACCCACGTTGTCCAAGGCGGCAAAGCCACCCTAACTCTAACCTATTCCTTTAATTTTAGGACCACAGTAAGCTCCAAACAGTTGGAACATCCTTCTCCACATACCCGAAAAGGTATACTAAAGGGAATCCCAGCTCTATTCAACCATGTTCCAACCTTAGAAACGGTGGGGGGGGGGGGGAACCCCTAAATCCTAAATCCTAAACCCTAAACCCTAAACCCGAAAGGTCCCGAGGGGGGTCGCAGGAACCGTTCCAGGCCATGCCTTGGAACTCTGCGGCGGGGGGATCTGGGACCGCCTGGCCAGAGGCCCTTGGGGTACCCTAGGGTTTAGGGTTCAGGGTTCAGGGTTTAGGGTTTAGGGTTTAGGGTTTAGGGTTTAGGGTTTAGGGTTTAGGGTTTAGGGTTTAGGGTTTAGGGTTTAGGGTTTAGGGTTTAGGGTTTAGGGTTTAGGGTGTAGGGTTTAGAGCGTCGTTTGGCTTTACATAGGGCTGGAGTCGGGCCTAATGAGAGTTATGTAGGGAGTCAGCACGATGACGGGAATTGGTTGAGCCTAAAAATCCTTGAACCCTGAACCTTTTACACCCCAAACCCTAAACCCTAAACCCTAAACCCTAAAACCTAAACCCTAAACCCTAAGGGCATGGGGGGGGGGGGGGGGGGGGGAGATTTCTGCAGTCTTTCTGCGTCGAGCTGCACTGGCTGCGTGGAGGCCTCCGCCACCGATACTATGGGCACGCCGCGAAGGAGTTGGACCTGGACCGCCTTTGGTTCTGCAGCAGGGGCTTGGGGCTTAGTAGGGTTTAGGGTTTAGGGTTTAGGGTTTAGGGTTTAGGGTTTAGGGTTTAGGGTTTAGGGTTTCGGGTTTCGGGTTTCGGGTTATGAGGCACCTTCAAGGCCCCAACCCCGAACCTTTCAGCCCCTGAAACCTCGACCCTCAAACAACCCTTAAGCCCTTTTACCCTTACCTTCGAGCCCCAAACAAACAAGCAAGCAATGGCTTTTCGGGCAGAGGCGCAGAAGCAAGCCCCCAAAAACATCTAACATCCGAAACGCCTAAAGCCTAAAGCCTAAACCCTAAACCCTAAACCCTAAACCCTAAACCCTAAACCCTAAACCCTAAACTTAAACGGCCATAAACCTCTGAAACCCTAAAGAGTAAAACCCTCCAGCCCTTACCCTGACACCCGTAAAGTCCTACAGATGCTGAAGCCCAGACTCTGCAACTCAGGGTTTCAGGGTTTAGGGGTTTAGGGTTTTAGGGTTTTAGGGTTTTAGGGTTTAGGGTTTAGGGTTTAGGGTTTAGGGTTTAGTGTTTAGGATGTAGGGCTTAGGCTTTGGCGTTAAACCTCAACAAAACTTTTGGGTTTAGGGCTTACGGTCTAGGGTGGGGCGAGGGGGCCTAGGGCCCTAAACCCTAAACCCCAAACCCTAAACCCCAAACCCTACACCCTACACCCTAAACCCTAAACCCTAAACCCTAAACCCTAAACCCTAAACCCTTCGGGGCTTTTGGGGTTGCCGGGGTTTTGGCGTTCTAGGGTTGAGGTTTTCGGGGTTTCAAGGCTTTGGAGATTTCAGGGCTTCATGGGCTTCATGGGCTTCATGGGGTTTAGGGTTTAGGGTTTAGGGTTTAGGGTTTAGGGTTTAGGGTTTAGGGCTTAGGGTTGAGGGTTGAGGGTTGAGGGTTGAGGGTTTAGGGTTTAGGGTTTAGGGTTTCAGGTTTAGGGTTCAGGGTTGGGCCCCTCTTGAGGAGTGTGCGGCTCGGTTTTGGGGTTTGGGGCTTACCCTAAACCCTCAACCTTAAACCCTAAGGTTTTCTCAGAAGCCCTTAATCCCTAAACCCTAAACCAGTAGACCGAAACCCTAAACAGCAGCATCTTCGCACTATGGGGTTTTAGGATTTAGGTGAAAGGGCGTTCGGGGTTTATAGGAAAGGGGCTTTGGGGGCAGGATCTTGAACAGTATGCAACGTCCAGGTTGGGGTTCCCTACTGTATTCTGGCGCACCCCCAATGTACCCGTGAAATAATGAACCCAGAGCCCGGAAAGAGACCAAGAATCCATGAACCCTGGTCCTGAAACCCTGAACCCTAAACCCTAAGCCCTAAACCCTAAACCCTAAAGCCAGGAAGCCTCGGCGGCTTTGTAGCTCAGGCAGTGCCGTCGCCCAGCCGGGGCGTAGTCCTGCCTGTCAAAGGGGGGTTGAGGGTTTAGGGTTTAGGGTGTAGGGTTTAGGGTTTAGGGGCTTGGGGTTTAAGGTTTAGGGTTTAAGGTTTACGGTTTAGGGTCTGAGGTTTAAGGTTTTGAGGTCGTTTACAGGCTTTAGGGCTTGGGGTTTAAGATGCAAGGCCCATACCCTCAATTGAGGAAGACATACGTCGATTCACGATATTACCCTAAACTCTAAACCCTAAACCCTGCCTTAAACCCTAACCCTAAACCCTAAAACCTAAACCTTAAACCCTAAACCCTGAACCCTAAACCCTAAACCCTAAACCCTAAACCCTGACGTAGTCGTACAAGTTTCATTGGGCTTCCGGGTCTAGGGGCTGAAGGGCTCAATATAGGAGTCTAAAGAATTTGAATCGGGTTTTGGGGCTTATTCTTATAACTACAAAGGGACCATAAGGAACATTCTTCTAGGGCGGGGGGGGGGGGCAGGGGGGGTGGCGGGGGGGGGGGGGGGGGGGAGGGGGGGGGGGTGGGGGGGGGGGGGGGGAGGGGGGGGGGGGGGGGGGGGGAGGGGGTGGGGGTGGGGGGTGGGGTGGGGGGGGCATGTTAGGATTTAGGATTTGGGGGTTGAAGGTTCAGCAAGAAAGATTCCCTTGTATGGAAGCATCCGAGCCGCTCTTGTGGGCTGAGCTGCCTGAGCTCGTATCCACTCAGAAAGACCACCTCGATTCAGGCTTTCGGGTTTCGGGTTTCGGGTTTAGGGTTTAGGGTTTAGGGTTTACATTGTCTGTTTGCAAGTGCAACACTTAGAAAACGAAACCAAGCACAGGAGGCCCCAATGATGCATGCGCACCGTATGTGCTGTCATACATGTATGCATGTGTGTATCTATATGTGTATATATATATAGATATATACTTATTTCACTATCTTTATGTAGTGTAATGATGACCCCTAATGTCTGTGTACGTACATGTATGTCTACATCAAAAACCCGAGTTCAGAAACACGCACTCATACACATTTCATATACATGTTCATCGACTTGTTCATATCTTGTTCATGTACATCTACGTACGCATAGAAAATACATGTACATTTGCCACAGTCTTATACCGACGGGCAGCTGTCTGCCAAATAAGCACAAATGTGTGTTTCTACATGCAAATAGTAAGGAATGCAAAGTTACACTAGTTTCTGCACTCCCGTGTGTCTCTGCAACACCACTTCCAGGGCAGCGTGCTGCATGTCCGCCTCACTGCAGCCGCTTCACATAGCTGCTGTCACCACCTGACAGAGGGTCGCCCCACGTCACGATGGAGCCATCATGCCGAATCGCAGCAAACGCCGAAAGCGATGCCTGGATACAGCACACATCTTGCAGCTGCTGCTGAACTGAGGAGCTGTCACCCCCAGAGTAAGCGCAGCCCCACGCGACAACATTGCCACTACGCAGAAGGGCAGCAAAAGCAGTGAACGATGCCTGAATGTGCTGCACTTGCTGCAGCTGCTGCTGGACAGAACTGCTGTCACCACCCGTTGTTGGATCGCCCCAGGTCACAACAGACCCGTCTTCAAGCAATGCCGCGAATGCCCCGAGGTTTGCCTGGATCGCACGAACCTTCAACAGCTTGTGACGGACAGCGCGGCTGTTGCCACCACGGTCCGCTCGGCCCCAGGTCACGACAGACCCGTCTTCCCGTATGGCGGCAAAGGCTTCCAAGGTAGATTGGATCTGCTGGACATTCACCAGATTCTGGACGGAGCCACCGTCCGCGCCGCGAAGTGGGTCACCCCAAGTGGCCACCGAGCCGTCCTCCAGGATGGCTGCGAAAGCGGCATGCGTGCCTTTGACGCTGCGCACCTTCCTCAGCTGCTTGCGGACGGAGCTGCTGTCACCACCATATTGTCTGGAGCCCCAAGTGACAACCGATCCGTTGCCGAGGATCGCCGCAAACGCGCCGGCAGAAGACTGGATCCTCTGCACGTCAACAAGTTGCTTGCGAACTGCAGCGCTGTCGCCACCAGAGTCAGGAAATCCCCACGTGACCACAGAGCCATCCTGCAAAATAGCCGCAAAAGCCCAGTCCGATGCCTGAATCTGGCGCACCTTCTTCAGCTGCACTTGGACGTTGCTGCTGTCGCCACCTCTGTCGCCATTTATGTGAGGACTACCCCACGTCACCACCGACCCATCTCCCAAGATAGCAGCAAAAGCCCCCTGAGAAGCCTGAACGTGGCGCACGCCCTTGAGGCGCTGACAAGCGCTCGCCCAACCATCCAATGGGCTGCCCCAGGAAACCACCGAACCGTCACCCAAAATCGCAGCAAAAGCACCCTGGGCTGCCTGCACTTCCCGCACATCTACCAGTTGCTCCTGAACATGGCTGCTGTGCCCGGGTGGGTTGCATTTGCGGGATGTTCGCCGTGTAAGAATTCTCGCCTCAACTGTTGAACAACCAAACCCACCCCAGGCCACTGCTGAGCCGTCCCCCAAAAGAGCAGCAAAGGCCCCCTGGCCAGCAGCCACCCTGGCCTGGCCAACTTGCAGCGTCAGCACGTCCCCTGCCAGAATACCAGCTTGCGAGACAGTCCTCGTCCCCGCCAAGACTTCTCCGGTAGCAGTCAGCAACCTTCCTGTGCCAACGTGCAGCCAACGCTGCGCAAGCCCTCTCAAGTCGTCCAGGCAAGTATCAACTGGCACGTCTATCTTGGACGACTTTCCGCTCATCAACGTCACTTCAAGGCACATGGACATGGCGATGAGGACTATGGCAACCACACACGTGGCACCCTCCCCGGTGCAATTGGCGCGCTTTTGGCTCCAAATGCAACTGGTGCTTTCATGTCATGCCAGAACAGTATAAACGGCAGCAGAAATCACAGAATTGCTTTCGCGTTTTCCCTCAGCCCTCAACATCCCGAACTCACGTCCCTCATGCAAATGGAGCGCCCAACATCCTGGGGGGTGCCAAGAAGTGGCATCCCGAAGGGGCCATAGTCTTCCCTCCCTTATATAACCCCTATATATATATATATATATATATATGAGGCAGGAACCTTTATGTATTATGTGGCGTTCCTTTTTTGGGGGACTATCTCAACTATCTAAACCAGGGGGGTTTAGATAGTTTAGATAGTTTAGATAGTTGGGTGAGAGGCCTAAACTACCTAAACTATCTACACTATCTAAACCAGTGGGGTTTAGATAGTTTAGATAGTTTAGATAGTTGGGGGAGAGGCCTAAACTACCTAAACTATCTAAACCAATGGGGTTTAGATAGTTCAGATAGTTTAGATAGTTGGGTGAGAGGCCTAAACTACCTAAACTATCTAAACTATCTAAACCAAGGGGGTTTACATAGTTTAGATAGTTTAGATAGTTGGGGGAGAGAGGCCTCAACTACCAAAACTATCTAAACTATCTAAACCAGGGGGGTTTAGATAGTTTAGATAGTTGGGAGAGAGAGGCCTCAACGACCTAAACTATCTAAACTATCTAAACCAGGGGGGTTTAGATAGTTTAGATAGTTTAGGTAGTTTAGGTAGTTTGGGGGGGGAGGTTGGGTCCCGGGTGGAGCCCAAAACTACCTAAACTATCTAAACTATTTAAATTATCTAAACTATCTAAACCAAGGGTCCCCCCAATACTAAATTACGAGCCCGGGCCTTCCCCCAATACTAAATTACGAGCCCGGGCCTTCCCCCAATACTAAATTACGAGCCCGGGCCTTCCCCCAATACTAAATTACGAGCCCGGGGGTTTAGATAGTTTAGATAGTTTACATAGTTTAGATAATTTTGGGGGTAGGTTGGGTCACGGGTGGAGCCCAAAACTACCTAAACTATCTAAACTATTTAAATTATCTAAACTATCTAAACCAAGGGTTCCCCCAATACTAAATTACGAGCCCGGGCCTTCCCCCAATACTAAATTACGAGCCCGGGCCTTCCCCCAATACTAAATTACGAGCCCGGGCCATCCCCCAATACGAAAAGACGAGCCCGGGCCTTCCCCCAATACTAAATTACGAGCCCGGGCCTTCCCCCAATACTAAATTACGAGCCCGGGCCTTCCCCCAATACTAAATTACGAGCCCGGGCCTTCCCCCAATACTAAAAAACGAGCCCGGGCCTTCCCCCAATACTAAATTACGAGCCCGGGCCTTCCCCCAATACTAAATTACGAGCCCGGGCCTTCCCCCAATACTAAATTACGAGCCCGGGCCTTCCCCCAATACTAAATTACGAGCCCGGGGGTTTAGATAGTTTAGAAAATTTACATAGTTTAGATAATTTTGCGGGTGGAGCCCAAAACTACCTAAACTATCTAAATTATTTAAATTATCTAAACTATCTAAACCAAGGGTCCCCCCAATACTAAATGACGAGCCCGGCCCCCCCCCAATACTAAATTACGAGCCGGGCCTCCCCCCAATACTAAATTACGAGCCCGGGCCTTCCCCCAATACTAAATTACGAGCCCGGGCCTTCCCCCAATACTAAATTACGAGCCCGGGCCTTCCCCAAATACTAAATTACGAGCCCGGGCCTTCCCCCAATACTAAATTACGAGCCCGGGCCTTCCCCAAATACTAAATTACGAGCCCGGGCCTTCCCCCAATACTAAATTACAAGCCCGGGGGTTTGGATGTTTAGATAGTTTACATAGTTTAGATAATTTTGGTGGTAGGTTGGGTCACGGGTGGAGCCCAAAACTACCTAAACTATCTAAACTATTTAAACTATCTAAACTATATAAACTATCTAAACCAGGGGGGTTTAGATAGTTTAGATAGTTTAGATAGTTGGGGGAGAGGCCTAAACTATTTAAACTATCTAAACTATCTAAACCGAGGGGTTTAGATAGTTTAGATAGTTTAGATAGTTGGGGGAGAGGCCTAAACTATTTAAACTATCTAAACTATCTAAACCGGGGGGCTTTAGATAGTTTAGATAGTTTAGATAGTTGGGGGAGAGGCCTAAACTACCTAAACTATCTAAACTATCTAAACCAGGGGGGGGGGTTTAGATAGTTTAGATAGTTTAGATAGTTTAGATAGTTTAGATAGTTTAGATAGTTTAGATAGTTGAGGGGGGGGGGTTGGGTCTAAACCAGGGGGGTTTAGATAGTTTAGATAGTTTAGATAGTTGGGGCAGAGGCCTAAACTACCTAAACTATCTAAACTATCTAAACCGGGGGGGTGGTTTAGATAGTTTGGGGGGGAGGTTGGTCCCGGGTGGAGCCCAAAACTACCTAAACTACCTAAACTCCCTAAACTATCTAAACTATCTAAACCAGGGGAGTTTAGATAGTTTAGATAGTTTAGATAGTTGGGGGAGAGGCCTAAACTACCTAAACTATCTAAACTATCTAAACCGGGGGCGTTTAGATAGTTTAGATAGTTTAGATAGTTGGGGGAGAGGCCTAAACTACCTAAACTATCTAAACTATCTAAATTAGGGGGGTTTAGATAGTTTAGATAGTTTAGATAGTTTAGATAGTTGAGGGGGGGGGGGGGGGTTGGGTCTAAACCAGGGGGGTTTTGATAGTTTAGATAGTTTAGATAGTTGGGGCAGAGGCCCCTAAACTACCTAAACTATCTAAACTATCTAAACCGGGGGGGTGGTTTAGATAGTTTAGGGGGGGGGGGGGGGGGGTTGGTTGGGTGGAGCCCAAAACTACCTAAACTACCTAAACTATCTAAACTATCTAAACCAGGGGGGTTTAGATAGTTAAGATAGTTTAGATAGTTGGGAGAGAGGCCTAAACTACCTAAACTATCTAAACTATCTAAACCAGGGGGGTTTAGATAGTTTAGATAGTTTAGATAGTTTAGATAGTTTAGATAGCTTAGATAGTTTAGATAGTTTAGGGGGCTGGGGGTTGGGTCTAAACCAGGGGGATTTAGATAGTTTAGATAGTTTAGATAGTTGGGGGAGAGGCCTAAACTACCTAAACTATCTAAACTATCTAAACCGGTGGGGGTTTAGATAATTTAGATAGTTTAGATAGTTTAGCTAGTTTAAGGGGGGGGTTGGGTCTAAAGCAGGGGGGTTTAGATAGTTTAGATAGTTGGGGGAGAGGCCTAAACTACCTAAACTACCTAAACTATCTAAACCGGGGGAGGGTTTAGATAGTTTAGATAGTTTAGATAGTTTAAGGGAGGGGGGTTGGGTCTAAACCAGGGGCGTTTAGATAGTTTAGATAGTTTAGATAGTTGGGGGAGGCCTAAACTACCTAAACTATCTAAACTATCTAAACCGGGAAGGAGGGTTTAGATAGTTTAGATAGTTTATATAGTTTAAGGGGGGGGGGGTTGGGTCTAAACCAGGGGGGTTTAGATAGTTTAGATAGTTTAGGTAGTTTAGATAGTTTTGATAGTTTTGATAGTTTAGATAGTTTAGATAGTTTAGATAGTTTAGGGGGGGCGGGTGGTGGCAAAAATCCGTGATTTCTGATTATTTTGGGCCCCCCAAATAGCAGTTTTTTATGATTTTGGATCATTTTGTGCCTTGGAAACCCATCCCCATGGCAAACTGCGTAGTTTTCGACCATTTTGGGCTCTCACAAATCCTGAGTTCAGGTGTACAAAAAAAGAGATTTTCCCTAGTTTGGCAGCCGTAAACCCACCCAAATGGCAAATTTTTGTGTTTTTTGATCATTTTGGGCCTTCCCAAACCCTGAATAAATGCGAAAACATAGGGATTTTCGTTAGTTTTGCAGCCTTGGAAAACCACCAAATAATGAAATTTAGTGATTTTGACCCTTTTGGACCTTACCAAACTCCGTATCAAGGCCAAAACGTAGGGATTTTCGCTAGTCTGGCGGCCTTGGAAAACCCTCGAAATAGCAAATTTGTGAATTTTTGCACAATTTGGTCCCTGAATTAAGGCCAAAACATAGGGATTTTCGTTAGGTCGGCAGCCTGGAAAAACCACCAAATAATGAAATTTAGTGATTTTTGACCATTTTTGTGCCTTCCCAAACTCCGTATCAAGGCCAAAACGTAGGGATTTTCGCTCGTCTGGCGGCCTTGGAAAACCCTCGAAATGGCAAATTTGCGAATTTTTGCGCAATTTGGTCCCTGAATTAAGGCCAAAACATAGGGATTTTCGTTAGTTCGGCAGCCTGGAAAAACCACCAAATAATGAAATTTAGTGATTTTTGACCATTTTTGTGCCTTCCCAAACTCCGTATCAAGGCCAAACCATAGGGATTTTCGCTAGTCTGGCGGCCGGAAAACCCTCGAAATGGCAAATTTTAGTAAATTTTTGCGCAATTTGGACCTTCCCAAACCCTGAACTAAGGCCAAAACATAGGGATTTTCGTTAGTTTGGCAGCCTGGAAAAACCACCAAATTATAAAATTTAGTGATTTTTGACCATTTTGGGCCTTCCCAAACTCCGTATCAAGGCCAAAACATAGGGATTTTCGCTAGTCTGGCGGCCTTGGAAAACCCTCGCAATGGCAAATTTTAGTGATTTCTTGCACAATTTGGGCCTTCCCAAACCCTGAATTAAGGCCAAAAACATATGGATTCTCGTTACAAAATAGTAAAAAACAATCATTTTTGATCATTTTGGGCGTAATAAGGCTAAAACATAGGGATTTTTCGCCAGTCTGGCGGCCTTGGAAAACCCTTGGGCTTCCCAAACCCTGACTTAAGGCAAAAACATATGGCGATTTATCACTTTGGAAGGTCACTTTTCCAAAACAATTAAGGGATGACACTGCTTGCGATTTGTCATTTTGGA